TTGATGTCGGTCATCGGATTGACGATTGACGAGGGTAAATGTGTATTTTTTTGTTATTTACGTAAAAGCTTTAGTTCATTGTTGGAAGTCCTCATCATTTATTTTACACTAAACATTCTTTTTTCGAATTCAAATTTAAAATATGGCGGTTATATCTTCGGCGGCGGCGGCGCTAATTGCTTACCATCAGGTACATTAAAAAAAACTGCTTATTTTATATTTCAAGTGTAAAATTAAAAGTAAACATGTACACATGACGCGATGTTGTACAACTGCCTTCTTGTAAAAGACCGAATAAATCCACATCGGTAGGTGCTCAAAGCTTTTTCCAGACGTCGGGCTCGAAAATTCATCAGCTTTTATGCCCAGAAGCCTGTCTGTCAATTAGCTTGTATGAAATTATAAACGAATACTTTTATACAGTTTTGATTGATGGTTGGTGCATAATCAGTAAACAACATATGATGGCAAGGTGACGTAGTTACATTAAAAAAATATTCGGTCGTGTTTTTAACACACTTCGTCCTGATAGTTGAATAAATGTAAACAATCTTTATTGTTGTATTAAAGAAATGTCAGATTAAAGCAATTTGTGACTAATGTCATAAGATATAGGGCCTAAAGTAAAGATATAGGACAAAAGTAATCACTCTCAGACGGCGAAACGTAACGTGTAGTTGCGGTACAAGCGCGATAAGGAACCGCAGCATCGGCTTACACACAGAAGATGGAACAGGGGGTTATTAGCCAGTAAGAGTCTGACAGTCCCTCTTCGCCTCACCCTGGGCGGGAGACGTCATTTGATGATGATGATTTGATGATAATATATGATGCATTTTAGTTAGAGTCAAGTCTTAGTACTTGTAAATTTGTAAAATAATGTGAGACAGGGTAGTGGTTAAGTAGTACTTACTATTCAACAACATTTCGAACATTTCAAAGAACATTGATAACGTTTCTGGAATCCGTATCGAAATGGTATCCAAAAAGTAAAATCGACTTTTAATTAAACTTTTACATTGCTATTGAAATACATTACGTAGATACAGGAATTAACGAAAACTCTCTGGAAAATTATTTCACAGTCAGTGTGTTCAGTAACTGGGCAAGTTTACTTACTAAAGTTTTTTGAAATCATAGTTCTATGAATTAATTTAAAGTGGAATAATACATAGATGTATCCCTATGTTATAATGGAAATGTTTTTCGGACGGATTACGGTGAGCAATCGGCTTCGCCGATGGACACCCGCTACTCGAAAGGAGTTAGATCCCCACATAGACTCCGCATAGATTGCCACTTTTGGGGATAAGGGTTTCGGATATTTATGGATTACGGCGGATGGGGGGAGAAAGAGGAATTGAGCCTCCGGTGACCTCACTCACACGGCGAAACACAACGCATTACTCCGGTCGAGCCAACACATTCGTGCCGAAGTATGGTTCTTCACACTTACACATGAGTACTACACACACATGTTGATATAACAAGTAACTTGACAACTTTACTTACAGAATGTTATTTTTTTCAAAATCATAGTTCTGTGAATTAATTTAAAATGAAATATAACCCTATGTTACAAGAAAAATGTAAAATCTTTTTGGTACCAACTCTATTAATTACTTTTGTATGAAGGCTAAATTAAAATGAATATGTATTTAAATGTAAGACATATTTACTTTGAACTATCTAACATGAACATTGGACTTTTCCAGTTCAGTTTATTGTAGTTTTTGAATCAGTTTTTGAACGTCATTGTAAGTGCTCATTGAACAGTTTTATTCCGTAGAAGAAAATGAAAAATTCAAAGCAGATAACTGTTTATTTTGCAGCACTAAACGGGCTTAAACGTTTGTTTATTTATTGGTCGTTATTGAAGAGATGGGATTTTAGTTGGCAATGCGCCCAGTAGCTGCAGTCATTCAGTACACTGGCTAAACGCGTGGACGTAAGCATTATGTGTTATAATATAATAGACCACGTTTGAATGCCGTCTGTTCATTATATTTATGTTCTGGTGTATAAGGTTTGAAGTTAGACATGGTGTCAAAATGATTCTCTATGTATTTTTTCAAACATATTTGTTATACCTGTTAAGCTTCTCAGCGACATACATACTACATAAACAGTAGGAGGTAGGTTATATTTTTCGTAAGTTATTAAAACGTGGGAGCTATAATTTACCATGCATTGATAGCACGACGCATTTCGCCGCCGACGCAACTCTCGCCTCACCCTGGACGAGAAAAACCATTCAATGTCATTATGCCCACAAAAAAATACAATTAATTTTGTACGTTTCGCTGTTGTATGAGCAGAACTTTTCATTTTACATACAACCCTATATATGACCGTATTTTGTACAAGGTATTCGTATTTGAGTTTTGTAGAGCTTCTTGATTTCCAGAAATACTGAGTAACTGTATAAAGCCTGTATTGTGCACCGTATGCGATAGTAGGCTCACCTTCGATTATATGGAACTTTTAATCAAACGTATAATGATAACGAGTTAAGAGTCGACCTTACCGAATGCCTACGAGTGGATGTAAGGGTAAATGTACCCTGAGTATTTATAGTATTGTAAAATATAGTAACCTCGCTTGTATAATCATGTGAGCGTTGATGTATATTTCCATTATAATATGTGGCACCTATGCTCATAGTAATTCGATCTGCTCAAGTCTATTATACTGAAAATAAAAAAAAAATCCACCATAACACCTTTTTTATGAGGGGAAAATCATCAAATATCTCGCGTCCAGGGTGAGGCGAGACTCCGGTGGGTGTCAGACTCTTATTGACTAAAACCCCCAGTTGCTTCTTCTGCTCAAGGCCGCCTTACATTAATGCGCTAGCCCAATAACCCCGGCTGACATATTTAGGTATACCTAAAGCGTTACAATCGTCTTTATTTAATGGTCAGTAATATTACTGTGATTAATAGAACAAAAAATACGAGTGTGTAAATGTCACCTCAATTCAATGTAACCTTTGTACGATAAATTGGGCATCAGTCAAGGACAAAACAGTTTCCGTGGGTGTCTCTATTATTTATTCATGGAACCTTTTTCTAACTAACTACTGGAAAAGGACAAACAGTATAAGGTCTTAGCGCCATATATTAACGAGTACACTACTTCGACAAACTGTTTTAAGAAAATTATTTTTTGATATTATTATGTATATTTACTTTTGTATTTTTTTTTATTTTGATGATTAATGTGTTTTTTTTCTACTCGTTGGCGTGGAATGTGTTTAGAACTCTGGGGTATTTTGTTGGCATTTTGGTTTTTTTTTTTTTTATTTAATAGGTCGGAAAACGAGCAGACGGATTACCTGATGGTAAGCAATCAGCGCCGCCCACGGACACTCGCAACGGAGGAGTTACGAGTGCGTTGCCGACCTTTTAGGGATTAGGGATTGAGAGATTTAGGGATTTAGGAGGGATTGGGGGAGGGGAAGGACTGGGCCTCCGGTAACCTCACTCACACGGCGAAACACAACGCTGTGGTTATTTCACGCCGGTTTTCTGTGAGGCCATGGTATCACTCCGGTCTAGCCGACCCATTCGTGCCGAAGCATGGCTCTCCCACACTTATTTAGAGAATGACTGCCTCAATTTTGATACGAAAATAATGTATGAGAAGTAAATAAAGATTTTTATTCTATTTTAATATCACACAGTTTACTAGCGTTTGCACCTGTACCTACCCATAAACAATTTCGGGAAAATTTCGATCTTGTGTTGCAGCGACGCGTTGCGATGTAGCGCACCTATGCGAGACCATACTTTAACTCAACCTTTCTAGCACAAGTTATTTAGGTATACAAAATTGCAAGATTGCTTAAGCTACTAGCTGTCGGACGATTGGAATGTAGATACTTGTAACCTAGTTGCAGTGTAAATTTGTAAAAAAAACGTTGCCCCGCTCTATGATTTTCTCCTGTGTTGTGCGTGCGTTAAAAACATATAATTGTACATACATACCACAATCAATAATTTGTGGATCTTCTATCAAGGGCTGCCACCTTTATTAGTTTTATTTGTCATATCATGTCAAATTTCGATAATTTAATCAATGTAAACATTATATTTTTCACTATCGTTGCAAATAACACAATGATTATTAATAAACTGCTAAAATCCATTGCTAATAACTGCTTACGTAAATTAATCATTGAAATGTACTCATTAATTTTATGATGATTAATATTTATACGACTCGTATGAAAACATTACATTTTAATGTGACACAGAGTTCAAAATTTCCGCCTAAATTAATTTATATTATGTTTATATTATACAGATAGACTACACAGTGTGTAGTATCAAGTTTGTCTCCTACCACCTAAGTTCACATTGTGGAATGCAATAAATATATTGAGTATAGAGTATTGAGTGTTGTCGTACACTGTGACTGTACGTAACCGCATCATTAACCGCACAAATACAAACAAATGAACATGGGCGAAATTAAATTGATCGTCTTTAGATTTTTTTTATGGGATAAGTCGGCAAACGAGCAGACGGATTACCTGATGGTAAGCAATCGGCGCCGCCCATGGACACCCGCAACACCAAAGGAGTTACGAGTGCGTTGCCGGCCTTTTGGGGATAGGGGTTTCGGATATAAAGATTGGGAAGGGATAGGGGAAGGAGAGGGATTGGGCCTCCGGTAACCTCACTCACACGGCGAAACACAACGCTGTGGGTTGTTTCACGCCGGTATTCTGTGAGGCCGTGGTATCACTCCGTTATTATTTATATATTTATATTATATTTGATCTCATTTATTCTAAAATATACTTATTAAAATAAATTATATCGTTTAGAAAACATCATCATCAGCCTATAAGTGCCTACTGCTAAGTAATGGCCTCTGCTCATACGGAGAAGGTTAGAGCATTAATCACCACGCTTTCTTAACTTTATCTTGCTCCTCATTTTGACCTATAAGTTATTGGACAGATTGTTTGGTATAGAAAAACAAAATAATTTTTGCTGTATAGTTTATTAATTCATAATTCAAGTATTTGTTGTTTTACACTTCATCAAAATCTTCAAAGTCATAGATTCCGTCCAGGACTGTTGAGTTTGGTGGAAGCCATTCGCAGCTAGTGTATTCGGAAGAACAGACCTGTGTACAAAATAATAAAGTTTATATTCCAAAACTAATAGATTTATTTTTTAAAAGAAACCAATAAATGTGGTCAACTGAACCGGAGTGACACACGGCCTTACGGAAAACTGACGTGAAACAACCCCAGCGTTGTGTTTCGCCGTGTGCGTGAGATTACCGGTGGCCTAATTCTTCCCTATCCCCAATAGGATTCCCTATTGGCGGTAGGCAAGAATTAGGCCTCCGGTGAGCGTGTCCCGATAGCGAATTCGTGACTCCTCTGGTGTTGGGGATGTCAATGGACGGCGTCAATGGTCCGCAGTATATCGACCATGATATTTATAATAGAGAGAACATTTCTTGTGATATACTAATTAGTTACACTAATTACGGATGTCACAACAATCCCTAATAGATAAAATCAGGCAGGAAAATTGCCTGATTCTGGGTGCGTTTACAAACATACATCTTATACTTAAATCTTTAATCAAAAATTTATAGATAGCACAAAGAATAATCCGTCAGAAATAGAAACCGTGAAACGTTACACGTCTTCAAGTTGGACTAGTAAGACTGGCTAAAATGAAAGAAAACAAAAACGGAGTTAGTTTTTGTTCTCTTTAATTTTGGCCAGTATTTTTAAATTGGGAAAATGTCTAAGCCGTAAGACAGAGTTTACATTATCCATAATTATATTTATAACATCTTCAATCTATATATTTATAACCCTATACCTAGTAATTAGGCTGTATCTCATACGCACATGCATTCTCCGTAATATTAGGCTCGGTAGCTACCACCTTGTGTTGAAAAAGATTCCCCTAACTTGATTGCATCCCATGCAGAATAAATAGTTTCAAACTACGTTGTATTATAAAAATGACGCACAATTTTGCCTTCGGATTTATAAATTACTAGCTACTCTCGCGCAGTTTCACCCGCTGCTTGGCTCCATTCAATCGTGGCGTGATTTTTTATAGCCTATAGCAGTGAAAAAATTTTGGCAATCCGACCAGCGGTTCCAAAGATTACCCCCTACATACAAACTTACAAATTTTACCTGTTGATACTATTAGTATAGGCTAGCAAACCGCATTTACGTCGCACGGGTGCAATGCAGATACTATTTTTCCATTATTAATGAATGTTATTTTACTTATACACCATGCTCTTCAAACACTCCGCATCAAAATCCATCGTAGTTTTAAAGATTGAAACATACATAGGGATATAGGGAGATAGAAAGCGACTTTGTTTTATACTATGTAGTGATAATAAATTTGTGTTCAGTCACAGCATTAGTTAATAAATCAAGCCAAATGAATACAATTTTCCTCTAACATCTAAATCAAAACACACGCGGAAATGAACACGTTAATATTTTAACAGTTAAAACCCTAATCCATGGAACAGTTTAAAGTCAATATCAGTTAGTTATCACAGTATTAGGATTCAATATTAGCTTAAATCATTCGGTTTAGAGCTGCGGCGGGTAGCGGGCTGGAAATTGTGCTCAGTTAGTAATTGGCGTTGAATGATGATTTATGATATTATGATGTATTATACCTTAGTCAGAGGAATTAAAACATACTTTTGCATATACCTACACATTTTAGAAATTCCGCTTAGCAGGTACTTTGGGATTAGAAATAACAATAAATTTTGTGATATGTGATGTGTGTATGAAAAAGTCACATTGAGGCATGCCAGGTTGTATAAGAAATGAGATCCTTTACCTCTGGAACATCTTGACTACATCTATACTTCGTTTTAAACGAAGCTTGGAGACTAAGTACAATAATAAATTAACAAAATACATAGAGATATTTACTAATTACAAGATTCCACGTGTAAATATTTATTTTACATTTTAAGAAGAAGACAAAAACAGAAGAAGAAGGAATAAAAAATACGTGTTTTAGTATATTAGATAACAAGGAGATAGGCTCAGCGAGTAACACCGTATTACGGGAACCATTTAATTAATTAAATGTTTGCTTATTAAATAGTTTCAAGTGAGTTTGTTTGAAGTTTTAATGAATTTATATAGTGTTATTGGAATATATTGTCTTCTTGTATGCGAAGTACCGTGTTTGTTTGCCCTTGAAGGAGTAAATTTTTACTTTATTGTGTAGAGTAATAATTATGTAAGTACTTGTCCCTTGTTATTAGTTTTAATAAAAAGAGAGTGGTTTATTTGCTAAATTTCATAGTTTATATAACTAAATGTTTTTACACGAAAATGCGATTTCTGTTGTTACCGAGATCCAGAAGAGGTAGGATCGCAATGAACTCGTTCTAGCTTTTAGCAGGAGAAGAATCGAAGTGGGTTTTTTTTAGACAGTAACTCTTACGAAGCTAAGCTAGTCTGACACTTCCTGTGCCTTTTGATGACTTCCCTCTCAAAAAAAGTATTATCGAGATCTTCATGACATTGCATGGTTTGTCATTCTTGCAATTTGTATTGCATTTGTAACGGTTTCCTTTGCCGTTATTTTTATTATGTAATAGGTCGGCAAACGTGCAGACGGATTACCTGATGGTAAGCAATCAGTGCCGCCCATGGACACCTCCAACAACAAAGGAGTTACGAGTGCGTAGCCGACCTTTTCAGGATTAGGGATTTGGAGATTTAGGGATAGAAACATAATAATGTAGTTGTTTCACGCCGGTTTTCTGTGAGGCCGTGGTATCACTCCGGTCAAGTCGATCCATTTTTGCCGAAGCTTGGCTCTCCCACACTTAATGTCATACTTTGAACGTTAATATCTGAACCGATTGTTTTGAGATATGGTGTAGATTTCAAATGAAGAACAGTTTTTTTTGCCACGATTTTTTTTGCGAATTCACGCATTGTAGTTCATTCTATTTTCATATATTATATTATATCTATATATAAATGAAACCATTATCAACAATTTTATGAAGTAATATTTATGATGCGTATTTCACTTTGTATACTACTATATACCAGATTTAAATATTTAACATCAATCTATTTCAGCTAACAAAACAAAATTTGCTGGTAGGGTAGAGGTGATTCAATAAGGACACAAGTTGACAGTTACATGTCGGTTTATTGAATGAATAATTATACTCTAAAATCTTACATTATAACAAACTTACATACTAAGCAAAACGTGATCAATACATTTAACAATTGATTTTCTGCGAATATTATTTCTCAATACCTTACAGCTCCCCTGAAAAGTAAAGGGCTACTACCCCTTCCCCTTAGGGAAAAAAAAATCATATACAAAAACACAAAGTATAAAAGAATCTTAAATTAAGATACAAATTTTATAGTATTATTTTTATGTACCACAACAACCTTATTATTTTTTAAAATCTTAACATTTGGGGAAAGATCTTCTAAGACCTCAAATGGACCATTATACACAGGATCAAGTTTAGTACCTGTTTGGTTTTTCAATAAAATTAAATCCCCTTTTTCATATTTAATACTATTCATATTTTTATCATATACATTTTTTCTTAAAATCTTACTCTTAATTAAATTTTGTTTAGCCTCAGCTAGGGCTTTGCTTAATCTATATTTTAGTTCCTTAGGGTAATCCTCATAGTTATATAAAGGTTCTATTTCTAAAAATACATTGCTAGGAATGTTACACATTTTTCCATAAACCAATTCGTATGGAGTGTACTTCGTTTCAGTATGCACTGATGTATTATATGAAAAGCACCAGAAAGGTACCCAATCGCTCCAATTTGTCTTATTGTTTTCACATTGTATTCTGAGAAATGCTCCTAAGTGTTTATGACTGTTTTCCAGCGATCCTAATGTTTCGTGGTGATATGGAGTAGAAGTTAATTTTTCAATTTTTAACAATTTACATATTTCAACTAGTACACTTGACGTAAACTCGGTTCCTTTATCTGTTAAAATTTGTTTTGGTATGCCATAACGTAATATAAAATTATTAACAAAAGTTCTAGCGACAGATTCTGCATCTTTTCGAGACAAAGGGTATGCTTCTACGAATTTAGTTAAATTACATTGTAACGTTAAGATATATTTATTATTATGATTATCTATCTCTAGTGGGCCCATTAAATCTAAACTTATACTATCAAATGCCGTATCTGGTGTTGATGTAACAACCATCGGTTCTTTTATTCTTTTATTACAGTGCTTCTGTATTTGACAGCTTTTGCACTTTCGGACATAATCCGTAACGTCACTGTTTAATCCTGGCCAGTAATAACTTTTCTTTATATTATTAATCATTCGATTAATGCCTGCATGTCCACTCGTGGGCAAGAGGTGAAAATCATTTAATATGACCTTTATATGGTCTTTGTCTACGACGCGAACAACGTCTCTCACAATTAAAAATCGTGGGATAAGAATTTGAAATTCTTTCATTACCCTTAATAAAACTTTTATGTGTAATGCATTACGTTTGTTTTTAATTATTAATAATTCTTTAATCCCTAAATTTCTGCATAAGTTTTCTAAATCCCTCGCTAACACTTCCGGAGTAGATAACGATCGGGTATTTAGCTGTATTGCAGACTGTGTGGGAACATAAGTGCAAGTCACAATATCGGAAAACGACAAATTCGATTCCCTACATTCATCACAAAATACTAGCTCCACTATTTCGTCAGGTTTTTTGAGAACCTCGACAGCGACAGGTTGATCAGGCCTATCCACTGAAGAAGAATTCTCTACTACTTGTCTATCATTTAAACGTTCTTGTTCTAATTTCTTCTTTTGAGCTCTAGTTAATACTGAAATTGTTTTGTCACGCATATTCTTAAAATCAGAAGATGTCACCGTGATTCGGCTTAATGCATCTGCAGCTGCATTATTACGACCAGGGACATATTCCACGTCAAAGTCATATTCTTCTAGATATAATCGAAACTTTGTTAATCTACTTGATGGGTCATTTAAACTAAATAGGTATACAAGTGGCCTATGGTCTGTGAAAATCTTAAATTTCCTTCCATATAAATAGGGTCTAAAGTGGCGAACAGCCCAAACGATAGCT